AAAAAGCTTTAATACTCCTTATGTCCCCTCGGGTGGTATCATATGGAAACACACTCATTTTCCTTTTGATTTTTCTCATCATGAATATTTAAAGCCAACCAATAGGTTTTTACTCTTAAGACTCATTAATTAACCCTAACCTTAATCCTCTAACTAATCTCATAACTAACATTATTTTTGTACCATGCATATTTGTTATATATATCATCATTCATCATACACACAACAAAATCTTAACATGCATATTACAATACGATTAAGGAACTACTATCCGCTGATCTAATTATCCGTGCTGAGATATGATTGACGAGTCAACAAACAACACATTTCACTATTTACGAGTATCCCAGTCAAATTTGAATCCAGGGCATGATGTAGAAACAACCAACCAAATTCAACCAAAAATGTTTCCACAACTTACTTAAAAAAATCAAACATAGATAATCAAATATATCCCAATCAGTGGAAGTAAATTAATTACTACAACTACATCAAAATGAAATTAAAAATACCAATATTCCCCTTAAAATTATATATTACCATGAAAAAACCACATTATTCAAATCTCAAAACATTTGTAGTTTATTAGCAAAATATTGTTGCTTTATAGAAAAGTAAAATTACTACATTAGGATATCTCAAATTTAATGTATTTATGTACATATGCTATTTTGATATTAAAAATAATAACAATTACGATAATACTTAACAGAGAAGTCATTTAATTGAAGATATGTCATTTTAAATCACTTTTTTTCATATGTCATTTTAAATCACAACCTCAAAAATACTTGACAAAAAATATATCACATCAGATATTGAAAATTATTCATATAACTATGACCACCATATATTGTTCTACTCTTTACTCCAATTAGCCCTACATAAAATGTGGTTGACAAAATAAAAACAACCTACAGTGCACAAAATGACAAACCATGTATATATACTATATCATGTGACACAAGTACACCACATAATTATATTTTGTTTTTTGGGAAACAAACATAATGATGCGTTGTTTTTGCATGAATAATCAGTATATACAAAATATGTACGCAATGGCACATTTAATAATATGTTTCCCCATTCAACTAAATTCATACATTTATCATTTCATCTCTTTGTCCTCTTTTTCTATAAATATGTGTCGTCTCCTCGAGCTTGTCTCATTCACAAAAAGAAGGTGTAGAGAAAGATAAAGAGAGAAGGAGAGATCAACATAGAGAGAGAAATAGAATGGGTTCTAAGGGAGATAACGTTGCTGTATGTAACATGAAGCTCGAGAGACTTCTCAGCATGAAAGGTGGCAAAGGACAAGACAGCTATGCCAATAACTCTCAAGCTCAGGTCTCTACATCTTTTTTTTGTTGTTCTATATCCTGAAAAATTCCATTAAAATTAAATTGTTCTTACGTGTATTTCCGTTTCAATTTGGTTTAGCTGATAAATCAAGTAATCAACTAATTAAATCGGTTTATTTACTTTTATTTTCGTTTTCTGGATTAGTTAATTATTCTGATTTGATTTTGGTTTGGTTTGTTATGTATCGGCTATGACTCATGCTATTGATTTGCTAAATAATAGTAAATCGTTAAATAGATTAAGCTATAAACTAAAACAAAATGTGTATAAAGAGCCAGAGTCAACCAACGTGGGTTGGGCTAGTGACACTTGAGGAAGTAATTCCAATATGGTGTCCGCAGTTTGAGGGCTAGCGTTGGCCACTGCAGTATTTACATGGCGGCTGCAGGCCTCCAGGAAATACACTAAGCGTTGGGCTCGGACGACTTGAAAAGGAATCGGCCTCAAGCCTTGGTGCTAGTCGGACTTCGGCCCGGATACCTGGATTATAAAAAAAAAAAAAAAAAGCCAGAGTCTACGTGCATGGAAATGTATATATTTAGTAAATCAAGAGAAAAAGAATAAATATCGACCATTTAAATTAATGAAAAGTTGAAATATTAATTTAATATATGCAGGCGATGCATGCACGGTCCATGCTTCACCTCTTAGAGGAAACACTTGACAATGTCCACCTAAACTCCTCCGCCAGTCCGCCACCGTTTACGGCTGTTGATCTCGGCTGCTCATCCGGCGCAAACACCATCCACATAATCGATTTCATAGTCAAACACATCTCTAAGCGGTTTGATGTTGCCGGAATCGACCCTCCGGAGTTCACAGCTTTCTTCTCCGATCTCCCAAGCAACGACTTCAACACGCTTTTCCAGCTTCTTCCACCACTTGTCTCTAACTCTTGCATGGAGGAGTGCCTTGCTGCAGACGGAAACCGCTCCTACTTCGTCGCTGGTGTTCCCGGATCGTTTTACCGGCGACTTTTTCCGGCGAGAACCATTGCCTTTTTCCACTCTGCCTTCTCCTTGCATTGGCTCTCTCAGGTACACACTCTACGTAACGTAAAGTCGTAATGTATGCTAGGTCACTTTATTACACCTTACACGTGTCATGGTGTCCATTTTATTTTATTTTTTTCCAATTTTTTTGCTTTAATTAAGCTTAGAGCATAAATCCAGACTAGGGCTATCAGAAGGAATGAAGAATCAGGACTCGATAGTTTCATGTCAACAGTATTATTACTTTGTGAACTTGTAGTTTTACTCTTTCAACTTAAGAACCAAAAAATCCAAAAAGAAAATACAAAACACTAGTGATAATATATATTAATTAAGAAATGGAAATAATATGGTAGGTGCCGGAAAGTGTGACGGATAGGAGATCGGCGGCGTACAATAGAGGGAGAGTTTTTATACACGGCGCCGGAGAGAAGACAGCGACGGCATACAAACGGCAGTTTCAGGCGGACTTGGCGGAATTTTTGAGGGCAAGAGCGGCGGAGGTTAAGAGAGGTGGGGCCATGTTCCTGGTTTGTCTCGGTCGTACCTCTGTGGATCCCACCGACCAGGGTGGTGCTGGTCTACTCTTCGGCACTCATTTTCAGGACGCTTGGGACGACCTTGTCCGCGAGGTACAACCTTAATTAATCTTACTCGTTATTCCCCCAAGTAATTAATTAATCTTATAACTCTAATTATTAACCTCGAGCTCTAAATTTATACTACTATTAACCGCCCTTTTCGCTTTTATGAATAAACTGTGCTAGAAATGAGGAAAAAAACTTATATATAACTCTAGGATAGATATCTACATTTGACCCAATTTGGGAATTTCTTTGGAAATGTCGCTAACCTTTTTGCTTTCTCTAAGAAAATCAACCTTTTTCTAAGAATTATACAGCATAACCAGATTAATTAAAACTTTTACTCGTAAAGTCATCAAACCTAGTACACTAGTTCAGTATATAGTATTCAACGTTATCCACAAGTTCTTGAAATATATTTTTTTATAAAATAATCAAACCTATATTTTTTTGTATATTATAGGTTTGAAATTAAGTTTAAGCAAATTATTATCTGTAAATCCATATACAACGAAACAGAACATGATTGTGGTGGCTTTAAGACCACGTTAGTGTACACTCTCATCACTCCTCGTATTAGATGTAACAATCAATCCTACCCGTCGGATTGTCCTCATCAATCATAAATGAAAATGAACCATCCATATATAGCTACGGTATCAGTTTATGCGACAGATTAAATAGACATGATGACCCTGTAGAGACAAAATCGGCAGGCCATATTATTGAAGTACGGTAGGAAAAGAAGACATACATAAAGTTTCAACAAGAATTGTTACGTTGCTTTCTAACATAATCATTCTAGTCCGTTAGATCAAGTGGTCACCAGAAAGTAAAGTTTGCATGTGTTGAAGTCATTATAAATTTATATCCTATAGTCAGATATAAATATAATCATATAAATTTAGCGAATCAAAGTACATATATAATTTAATTAATTTTAAATACTACAGTATGTATAAATTAACATATTGAACTACGTAGAGGCTCATCTTAAAATTATATTCAAAATATTTTACTTTTTGCATTCAATATTGGAACCGACGTAATTGACATTGGTTCAACTGGCTAAAAGTCCTGAATTTAATCCTCGGTTCAAAGTAATATCTTAATATAATTATATAAATCAGAATTGATATATATGTAAATTTTATTCTATATTTGTAGGGTTTGGTAGCGGCTGAGAAACGAGATGGATTCAATATTCCGGTATACGCACCAAGCTTGCAAGATTTCAAGGAAGTAGTTGAAGCCAACGGCTCATTTGCAATTGAGAAGCTGGTTGTTTACAAAGGAGGGAGTCCGCTTGTGGTGAGTGAACCAGACGATGCATCTGAGGTTGGTCGTGCCTTTGCTAGTAGTTGTCGAAGTGTGGCCGGAGTGCTTGTGGAAGCTCACATAGGCGAAGAGCTAAGCAATGAGCTGTTCTCACGTGTTGAACGCCGAGCCACTAGCCACGCCAAAGATGTCTTGGTGAATTTGCAGTTCTTCCACATCGTCGCTTCTTTATCCTTTACTTAGTACCAAGGGAAATGAAAAGAAAAAGACTAATTAATTAAAGAAAAATGTTCGTGTGCTCTTGTTTTAACTTCTTTTTCTTCTTCTTAATTAGGGCTTCTTTATGTGCTATATATATTTCTTATGTTCTTTATCATGGGTTTTTGATCATGCATGTAAACTAAAATATATCTTTATAAGAAATGAAGTCTTGCCGGCCGGGTTCCTAACCAATAAACCAAACCAGCCGAATGAAACTGTACCAAACTAGAATCATAGTAACCAAATTCGACTTTACTAACTTTTTGCTTCTTTATATATTTGTACCTAAAAATGCGATTATTATGGACCACCAGTACGGTAAATAAATAGATACAAACAAAAACCACACTTAATTTTCTATATATCATACGCCAAAAAAAATCAAACGACAGACAAGACAATTCGGTATACGGCTCCATTCAATCAAGTTAATTAACTAATATATATAGTTTTACATATTTGCATAATAAACAAACATTTCCAACATATATAAAAGTTATATACTTCTGGACAAGATATATGTCCCACACCTCTTTGCTTTCATAATATAACCACTACTGAATTAATTCAGAAGTGTTCACAAGTCTACGAGCGTGTTGCTTCGAATAAAAAGAACTATTATCTATATATCATCATCATCACATTCATCAACGAATAATGATCAGTAGTACGTCTTGTACTCCTTGATCTCAGCGTAGTTCTTCGCACAATACTCGAACAAGCTTCCATCGAAGCACCGCCTTATGGCTTCTTTAGACAAGAATCCTTCTTCGTCACTCGCTAACGCATACAACACTCCCCATTCCACCTTGCTCGCTAACCTACATATCCACAAATATACTACTTCACAAACCAAAAATCGTTTAATTATAAAGGGACATGACCACATTCGAGCATTGTATATACAAGTATATACCATCCAAAAAAGTCAAAGGCATCGCGGTTCCCTTCGGTCATGTCCCATAGTTCTCCAAGACTCAACTTGTCTGACACGGTCCTCGCGTATTTGCTAAACATCAACTCAAGATTCGCTGGTGTATACCTTCCAAAAACAAACATACATATATACAGCTAAATCTCGTTGTATCTCATTCCTATATTTAAATATGCTCCGTGGTTACACGGTTACTTACCTTCCTTCATTGTCATACGTTTTAGAGTCACTTCCGTGTTTTGCCTTGTGAATGTTGTGTATATATATAGGAAATAACGGAGACGGTAACCATCCCTGTTCCATCAATCATAAACGTACAAAATCATAATTAGGTCTGGTAAAGCTAGATTAAAGTAAATCGAAATATATGTACTGTACCGGGAGAGTAGCATAGCTAAGAGCTATGTTGATACCAGCAGCCAAGACAAGCGACGCTAGTAAATTGAAACCAAGTAACCGGAATCCTGGTGGAATTCAAATTCGTATATATAGATAGGTATACACAAACCAGGAAATGTATAAACCGGTATGCACATTATTATACATATGGAGAGATTGAATGGTTTACCAGTGAAGGTTTCAAAGGGATAAATAATGCCATTATCATCCAAATCAAAGAAAGCGACATGTTGCTGAAGAACACTAAGGCCATTATGCCTATGCTCTGGTGTTCCTTGCGGGTGCTCCATGTCAGGTGCTTGAAGTGCTCTCGGCAAATCTAATTCATCAGAATTTGTTATGTAGCGTACGAGTCACGCATCATGAATATATTTGAATATGTAAAAGATAGGTTTAGGAAGAAGTACAAGGTTTAGGAAGTGTGTCGTCCAAGTTACCACGAACACGGCGGTGATAAGTCACCGGAGCGTAGGGAGCCACAGTCTCCATTGCGTCTCTCTCCATCCTCTCCATCGTCGTCATTTTGCTCTCTCTCTCCCTCTACAGCGAGAAGGGAAATGAACAAATTAGGAAGAAGTGAAGACCGAAACATTTTGATGCTCCGTGGCGGACATGCACGCACGACAATGCCACCGTTTGCCATCTCTATCTCCTAATTTCACCCTCCACATGAGTCAAGGACACTTGTCACTTAGAAGTTGATATAGAAACAAGAACGAAATTTTCGAAACTGAACCGTAACAATGTTTTCACAGTAGAACCTTACCTAACATAACCAAGCAAAATTGAAGTGAGAAAACAAAATTAACCAAACCAACCAAAATAACAAAACTTTTTAAGAAATGAATTTAAATTACCACATAGAAAAGCTGAAATATAAATTTCGATTTTAGAGAATTCTGAACCAAATAAAACCAAATATTTCGGCTTTGGTTGGAACACACTTTTCATAACAATTATACATTTTCTATAGAACTGAAAAAACCAAAAAAAAAAAAATCCTGAATGATCTCATCTTGCCTATTTGAACTTGGACAAAGATCTTGATATAGGTTCTTATGGGCTTTCTATGTCAAGGCCCATATAAACCCTAGAGAAGCCTTTTGCAGGTAAAAAGGTTGTTTTTGAGTCGAGATGATACCGTACCAACTATCAAAACAACACTAACAAAACACACACACATACACATTCTAGTACACCATTCTACTCTCAAATGTCTTTTGTCTTCTTTCAGGTGTTTCATAGAGCCTTTTCTTCCTAAAACAAACTCAAACAGTGAAAATTACAGATCTTTTTTCATTTTTTCAAATCATCATGGTGAAGCAGGAACTTTATGATCTACAGCACCAGAAACCGGTGATGAAGCAGCTTCCTCTTTCGAAATGGCAACGTAGTTTGTGGGAGCAGCCGGCCTGTTGAGAGTCTCCCTTCTCCCTGCTTCTTTTGCAGTAGACCTGCTTCCATTCTGGTTTGCATTCAAAGATAAACGCCGGTTTGGTGTTCCATTGGCTCCTCCGTTGTTAGCTCGTGGCCCCACCGTTTTCTTAGCACTGACCGGTCTAGCAGGGCTTGGCCTGGTGCTAAAGGCAGAGTCTTGCTCTATGTGTGGCTGTTCTTGAACCTTCTTTTGTTCCTGTTCATTAAGACAAAGAGGAGTTTAAAGAGTGACTAACATATTCGCCTTATCATAATCGAGTAGAAACGATGAACTTACCCTCAGCCTCCGTTTCTCCTCTTCTCGTTCTTGCCTAAGCATACCATACTCGTCTAGCATTGCTAGCAGAGGAACACCATCGTAGGCAAAGGACATGCTGTGTTCCTCTTCCCACGCCCGGGTCTTGGCAACCAATGTGTCAACCATGGCTTGATACAAAGCAAAAGATCCAAATTTAATAAGATATGAATACATGAGAGAAGTTTGCAAGTATATCTTAGTTATTCTACACATACCAGGAATCTTGCTAACCAGAATCCGAGCTTTCTCAGCTCTCTTGAGATTCAAGTGTGCGCCTCTGCTTGCACTGTACCTGTTCTGATCCTGTTCTCAGAAAAGGAAACCATGGAAATGCTCAAGATCCAATTCAAAGTCAATGTATTATGGTGTATCATATTGTGTAATTCAGAAAATTATGCATTACCCGATTGTAGTCTTCTAGCCAGCTCTCCTCCTCACAAGCTGACATCCATTTCTCGACTCGGTCCAATATATCTTTTCTACTAAACGCTTCTTCTTTAGCCTTTGCTATCTGGCTATCCATGTCTGCCAATAATTCAGTAGGCTCAACGTTTCCAGTATCAATCAGCGACATGATTCTCTCACGAGCAGATTCCGGGTTTATTTCTACATGGGCACGAGCATATATCTCTTCAAGCTCAGATTGCTTCTTGAACGCAATTTCCTTCATCCGGCTAGCTTTCAGCTGGTCAAGCCTATGCACTTCCACCTCAGCCTTCACAAGTTTTACATGAATTTTAGCAAGCAGTAACTGATTTTTCAGAGCACATAGGAAGATTGATCAATGCAATATAAATTACCTGCTCAATCAAATCACGTGCAAGAGCACCTGGCACAGTGACCTCATCCACTGAAGATGAAATGTTACAGGTAACATGATCAAAAAGCTCCCTTTCCTCATCAGGAGTATCCATCAGATTCCACAGGTCAATTAGCTGAGTAGCCAGCTCTTGAAGCTACAACAACAAAAGACAAAGATTCATTAATGCAACAGTGTAATTAATCAGAAACAATTTTAAACAAATTAAGGATGCAGAGTGTCTTTTACCTTTTGAAGTCTTTGCTTCTTATCATCTTTAAGAGTCAAGACGGTTTTAGCCAACCTTGAAAGTGTCTCATTGCTAATGCTCTTAGACTGAACACCAGTTTCTTCATCTAAGCTCGGATGAACTTCGGTGACGGTGCTTAAGAAATCCAAACCAAGAACGGCACATAGATCATGAACAGTACTCACAAAATCTAACACCTTGTGCAGCCTGTCACTCTGCGAAAACAGAGCAGTTGGTAAGAAAAAAATAAGCAACAATTAACAATAGGAACCTAGCTCAAAGTTTACCTTCTCTTTCTGGAGCTCTTGGAGTTGGCTCTGGAAATCGTCTAATTTCTTCAGTGACAAATCAGACTCATCGACTATAGGAACCTCATTGCTCAAACCTCCAGCAATCTCTCCACATATCTTCTGAATTTGTGATTGTACATCAGAGAACTCTCGGACTCTCTCCTCTTTCTGTTGCCACAGTTGTTCAAGAGCCGGTGCTATAGCAGCAAGTTGCTCTTTAATCGTCCCTGAAGACTTATCCGGCTGCAACAAGAGAAGAAACAAAAGACTTATATCACTTAGAAAAGAAAAAAAAAACACACTTCCAATTACATTTTACACTTCTAAGCTTGAGACAAAACTTACAATGCCAACTAAGCTTTTCTCTCCAAGAGAAGTTGTGAGGCTGGAAAGTTCAGCATTAGCATCTGACAAGGTTTGAAGAAGCTCAGCTCGGGATTTCGCAGCCTGCTCGACTTTTCTCTTGTAAACATCAAGACACTCTTGCTCTATCTGAAGAAGCAGTTTGTCTCGTTGCTCATCACTCTCACCAACTTCATCCCAGATTTCCTATTGTAAAAGGTTCGTAAGAAGTTGACGTTACACAAGATTGAGTAAAGCCCTAATAGTTAGGTGGAGATTTACCTGCAACTTCTGAAGTAAGGTACCACAAGTAATTTCCCCAAGATGAGGACTTTCAGCATCTGTGACTGCCATTGTCGCAAAATCAGTAGGTTTCCTGTAGAAAGATCAAAAACAAATTCCAATTAGAGACGATAACTAAACTAAGAGTGATTAATGGACATCGCTGAAAATTAGATCTTACTTATGCATCAAAATAATAAGGAAATTGAACTAAGAACAAAATAATAACAAACACCAGAAGATAGATACTCCGTAGATATTCTCAATCAAAGTTGCAATCTTTTTGGGAATCCAAAAACCATTAATCATTCTAAACAAAGATTAAACTCCACAGACCAAACATTCAGAGTCGGAAACTAAAGTCTTGAACTTCCGAAGCTCAAAAAACCAGTAAGCAAACGAAGTCAAGCTAAGAATGCAAAATCTAAAATCCGATCAAGTAGAAGAGAAGAAGCAGATCTCTGTACAAAAAACAGAAACTTCAAGAGAATCGAACAGCATTGGTGATAAAACCAAAGTGATCAAAACCTTAAGGAACAGACTAAAGACCTCAAAATTGATCAAATCTAACAGTAAAAAGAAAAAAAAGGAAAAACTTTTAATCACCGAGATTGACACTGGATTTCTAAGGGTTTAAAATGGGTTTGTCCTTATAAACTCTGCTTCTTCTTCTAGATCTGAAGCTCTCTCTATAACAAAACTCACACTATTGAGAGTGAGATAAAATCATTTTTGCAATAGAAGGAAAAAAAAAAAATCTATCTATGGAGGTGGAAGAGACGGAGAGGTGGTGTGGGACCCCATCTTTTTTTTTGTACTACGATGGAACAAACACCAAATATTCACCCCTAGGTTTCTGCTTTATTTACAAACATGACACTGTTCACAGACAGACTTGTGTCTTTTTTTTTTTTTTTTTAAAAACTCTTCCTTGACTTGGTTCTTTGCTTGTTTGACCACACAAGTTATTTACTTTTCTTTTATTTTCTTTTCTTACAGTGCAATAATCACCACTAGATTCTCGGAACTAAATAAATGCTTCAATAGTTTTTGGTTTTTCTAACCAAGTTAACTTATGGTTATTCAAAGATGTAACTGTTATGTGTAGCTCTACAAAAACATTTACTGTACAACCAAAGTTGTTTACCAATTACTACGTTTTAGGGACCATATAAGTAGATCACTAGATGTATGTATATTGTCCAATTACGATACTGTAAATATTTATCGTCGCTATCAATCGAAATTCATATTCTTTTTTAAAAAAGTATGATGCAAGAGGATAAAACATTTTCAGAATTTTGAATTAATATAAAATATAGTTGACAAGGAAACTTTCTAGACAAAGATGTACATAAATTATCAAATACTATCTTTTAAGTAAATAGAATTATAAATGTAGTTTGAAATACTCAAAACAAACATTGACATCTTTGACAGTACAATCTTGCATTCAGAATAGATGAAAAGTTCTCCGGAGAATTGCTGAACTTGTATAAAATTGTGTGTTTCAAATTAGCAATATCTTCGATTTTATTCCTAATTAATTACTCTATCACTAGTTCGTTAGAAACCTTTTTTTTGTATTGAATGATTTATTATTAGTTGGGAAAATGGTGCAAGTACTAGGATTGGTGAAATTTACTTTACTTTTTAGAAATTTAAGATGGATCATGAGGAAGTAGACTAGTAGTTCGTAAAATACAGCTAAGACAAGTAGCAAAAGTGATGAGGTCAGAGGGAAAATTAGTCAAGCGTCCATATAGAACTAAACTAGAAAAGACGAAGAGCCTTTTTTTTGTTGTTGGTCGATATAAAAAACAAGTCATAGTCAATGTTAGTTGGCAAATTCAATATGAAATCGACGTAAATACTTATATCTCTACCATCTATATCCAATAAAACACATTGATTATAAAATCAAAAAGTGAACTAAATTACAAAATAAAAAGCAATGTTTTTGGAAATCATTTATTGCCCCTATTAATCTTACAAACAATCATCAAATATAGTAATAAAAGTTCTCTTCTTGTGACAAAATCAATCATCACAACTTAAAAAAACAAATTGCTCATACAAAATCATACATACAATACCTATGCTAATCAACGAGTGATGTATTGAATCTCGGCTCGATCTTTCAACCATTCAAGCACTTTTGCTCCTTCTAAAATCTCTTGTACCTAACCCATCAATTCAAAAAGAACCTCTCTCTTTTTGAGTGTTCTTATCTAGCTGAAGAAAATGATAATACTCTAGATTCACAAGAAAACTAACCTGATCTTTCACACGCTCTTCGTCATACTCTTGTTTATGTTTCTTGAATTCTGAGATCGAGTTCTCGACCTCTTTAACGAGTTCATCTGTTGAGAACTGCATTCAAGTAATTTGACAATGTTTTGTTACTAAAAATGTTTTCTTTCTTTCTCGGAGACGAGAGAATTATGCATATAATATACCTCTAAGTTTTCGCGCTTGAAGATATCTCCGACAGCTAAATTCTGCTTGATTATGTTGGTAATGCTCTCTCTTTGAGTTTCTAGAAACTCATTTACTGCTTTTTGACTCGAAAGAGAAGCCAATTGGTCTTCGGTGAGCTTCATGTTTCCCTGCAGCACCATGTCATTCAAAATTAAGAATCTGAGTGACAGTAAAAGAGAGTAAGAGTTAGACATCAACAACAGTAATCGAATACACTTGCCTGAATCTCTAGAAGCCTAGCTCCATAAAACTGTCTTCCTTGTTCCTCAAATAAAGATTGAGGAATCTCTACTTCAACCATCTAAAACAAAGAAGTAAAGGATGTTTCGATCACACAGATCAACGATGTTACTGCTTCAAATGATATATGGAATTAGATGATGACCTTTCGAATCTGGTCAAGGATGGCGTTGTCTGTTGCTTGCTCCTTGGCTTCCTGCTCCATCTCTTGACATCTTTTAGCCAGAGTTTCTTCAACCTGTTAACTTGTTTCATTAGCGAATTACACTGAGAGAAGACAAACTTTTTTGTATAAGTTGTTGAAAATAAAATCCAGGTGTTCATTACCTCCTTTAAAGTGGTGCATCCAGGAAGTAATTTATCAGCAAGTGAGTCATCTAATGTTGGTAAATCTCTGTAGAAAAGTTCCTTGCAGTCAACCTGAAGAAAGCATACACGATTAGCTTTCCCAAATATGATCTCTTGGATCATCTTTCTCTTCATTTTGGTATAGGAAGACGAACTCACAGTGAATTGAGCACGTTGGCCACGAAGACTTTCTTGTTTCCATGATTCAGGAAACACAAGCGTGAATGACTTCGATTCACCTGCTCTAATTCCTATGATTGAATCAAGGAATCCAGGAAGTATTCTATTCCCTTCTTCAGTGTCAAAGTGAAAACCTGTACACATAACCGCAAATCTCAGCATTCATTTGCAAACGGGAACGATGATTTCAATGGAGTAAGAGATATGGCTCTGTTGAAATATAATAGTTCTGAAACCTTTGCTTTCCGCATCTGGAATCGCTTGACCTGTTGATCCATCCTCATCTATAGTTGTAGCAGAAATATCAACGACTGCAAGATCTCCCACCTACATGGTATTAGCTTTTTAGGATATAATGAAAAAAGCAACTATATCATCTTTGCAGAGTTATATGGACTAATGCAGCCAGATTCATAACCAAATTTTGAAATAAGCTTACATTTTTATCTACTTAGCTATAGAGGCTGATCTTAACTGTAACGAGGTAAAAGGTCGGTCCTTTTAAAGTATTAGCGTCCTTCAATGATTGCAAATGAACAACGAAAGAAAACCGTACTAGTTGCAGAATAACAATACAAGGACATGGGGAGTTATGCATTCATTTACCTGTAGCCCTCGGTCAGTTACAATCTTCAGCGCACCAAGGGACTTGTATTTCTGTCTTAGTTGTCTTTCACAAGCTTTTTTGGCGTCAATCTCATCGCCTAATTCTACAACGACCTTCATATTTTTATACCCATCCTCAGGATTCCATCTTAGTTCAGGGACAACATCAACAACCACCTCATAACTGAGGAACAAGAGAAAATCAGAAAAACATGTAAAGTTAGTTAGCAAGCATTATACCTAAACTGTTGTTCAGATTTTCAGCAAATGTGAAGATTAAACAAAAACCTAAGAGTTTTGAGCTTAGAATAAGCCTTCTCCATATCTGGAAAGCTGCTTACAATCTGTATCGAGTCTTTTAAAGCCCTTCCAGTCACCTACAAAAACCAAAATCTCATATGAAAAATGTTCCAAGACAACAAACACCGAAATTAGATACATCACAAGACTTGTTCTTCACCAATCAAATTCTCTTAAACCGTGGAAGATTGAAAAAAATAATCAAAGTAATATAAAAATTTGACAACTTACTGATTCCATGGCGTGAGGAAGTGTTCTCTTCAAGATAGATTCAACAGTTGCTCTCAAAACATATTGCCTCCCAACGAAACCAACAATAATATTCTCTGGAACTCTTGTTTTAGGACGGAATCCAGGCACCTAATTAAAAGAAATCAAGAATGATACATTGAATGGAATCAAACCAAGTAAAATCATTATAATCAACAGCAAGCATTACATGGATCAAGTTTCGACATTTCGTCTTAAAAGTAAAATGAAAATCAATTTACCTTTGAGAGCTTCATGAACTCTGTTAGAACTCGTTGGTAACAATCTTCACAAACAATGGCTGGAACTTCCACACTCAATTTCACCTAAATCGAACAATACATCAAATTTCAAGCCATGTCAAAACTCAGACCAAACACAATGCCACACATATTCTCCTACAACAAATAGACAAAATGATGTGAAATCCCTTACACTTGAATTGGCCTGTACAGTCTCGGTGACCTTAAGATCAGCTGGAAGCTTGTCTTCCTTTACACTGGTTTCAACCGCCGGAGAAGCCGCCGCGAATAGCCTAAAGTCACCACCGCCGCTAATAGAAATAGAACCTCCGAGAAATCCGAAATTTCTAGAGACACAAGACATCTCCAATGGGCTGCTAATTGGTTTCTTCAGCCTCCCACCAAACTGTAACACACTATCTGATTGGAAGAGACGGGAGCTAACACGGCGTGAAATGGACGGAAGAAAGGGATTAATCGCCTTCGCCGTCGTCGTCGTGCTGATAACACAGAGCTCCATTTTCGCTCTCTCTTCTTGCTTAGAGCTAATGAATGAAGCGCCACTTCTTCTTTAGCTACTTTCAGATAAATAGAGTTATCTCCTTAAAACGCTGCGTTTCGACTAATTAACAAATATGGGCATATGGCTTGAAGAAAACGCTGCGTTTTTAGTAAAATGGAGCGTTTTCAGTAAAATGGAGCGTTTTCATGCTATATCACCTTAAAACGCAGCGTTTTCAAGCTGATAGATAAAAGCAACCACTTTTCCGGCTAGTGTGAGAGAGAGAGAGAGAGAGATTGATTATGGAAGGTGTAGGATCGAGATTGAGCCGGACGTCGTCGAGATACAGTGGTCCGTCGGCGACGGCGGTATTCAGTGGCCGTGTAAGGAAGTGGAAGAAGAAGTGGGTACGTGTCTCAACCTCATCCGTCGGTGTTTTCAGAGCATCTAAATCCAACGGTCGTAACAACAATAACAGTAACTCACCACATCATCTACTTCTCCATAAGTGGACTCCACTTACCACAGCGACGGTTACTGCCTCCGACGCTAATGGTTCCGGTGAGACGGAGGAGCCACCTAAACGAAGATTCAGATACGCTCCAGTAAGTTTTTTCCCCCAAATTTGGAAGAATTCATCAAATTAGGGTTTTGTGGGATTGGTTGAAATGATTGATTGATTGGTTTTGATTTGTGTAGATTGCGATGCTTGAGCATAGAGAGAAGGTGGTTTCTAAGGATTCTGAAATTGAAGAGACTGAAGAATTCGACACTGAATCTCCATTACCTAAAGCTGTTGAGTTGGACATGAACATAACAGATTCAGACCAAACTAAGGTTAGCTTCATTCAAATAATCTAATGAGAAAGTGTTGAGTTTTGTTCATGCTTTTGTGTTTATACTTACTCTGCAGGAAGCAAAAACTGGGAACTTGAATCTGGGACTGTGTCTGAATTCTGAAGGGACTGACGAATGATGAGGATCATATTGGATTAGCATGAATCAACGATAAAAGTGTCAGCATTTGGTATTGTTGTAGCTGTGATGATGTCTCATATTGTATCTTATTCTAGGCGTTTGTTGCACTTTGATGTTTCTATGTAGTGTGTTTGTAAGCTAGAAGACGTTATATATATGTAAGATTTGAAGCTTTTACCAAGAGGTTGGCTCATGAAATTTTGTGTAAAGTTACAGAACCAGGGTTTCCCTGAAAGTACAGAGCAAAGTCCTGCTACCTTATGGGAATCTTGTTCCTCCAACGAATATGCAAGAAAGAGAACTATTAACTAAAAAAATAACTCATGAAGATGTTAAAACAAAGCTTAACTCTCGTTGTTTAAGTTTTTCAAGCTGCAGACTCTTTCTCGCCTTCTTCATTCTCCACGGCGCAAGTAACACCAACCTCAGCTGGCCTTATAACGCGATCGTACAATGAGTATCCAGGCTGCAAATATGGAAACAAACAGTTACCACAAAGTTATAAACTGATGGCAGAGAATCCATGATGTGGACTTGCAAAAGCTAACATAAGCTTAAGAGTTAAAGCAAGAAAGAGAGCAATCCTTTGAATAAATGGTTTAGTACCTTTAGGACATGAGCAATTGTGCCTTTTGGCTTGGAAGCATCTGGGACTTGGAACACTGCGTTATGTTTGTTTGGATCAAATGGTTCATTTAAAGGATCTTCTTTCACCAAACCAGATTTTTTAAACACCTGTAAAATTGCATTCTCAGCACCAGTCTCATCTTAACTTTATTTACCTCAAAGATATATAATGGATGTTTTTACCTCTGCTAATTGTTTCTCAGTCATCTCCACTCCTTCTAATAGGTTTTTCAACAGTGGAGCAGCACCAGCCGAATCTTTTGAAGTGTCGATCTTCGAAAAACTCTCTTTGACAACTGAAGAAGCTCTTTCAAGATTATCCGCCACATCCAAAAGGCTCGTTGCAAAGTTCTGCAATACAACAAACATATTCAACACTGGATTATATATGACGCAAAACAAGTTAATTCAAGAAGAAGAAAAAGGATTCGCGGAGCAGAGAAGTAAACCTGTACGGCGAACTTTTTGGCGTTTTCAGCATTACGTTTAGTCCTGTCCATTAGATTCTGCTGCTCAGCATAAGTGCGAAGAAATTTATCTTTCATTTCCTTTATGTCTTCCTGCTGAACCTTCAAAAGATCTTCCTTCTCACCCACAAGCTTCACCAAATCGTCTCTTGACATATCATCGAAATCAATCTCTGCGTCTGGAAATCAGAAAAAGAAATTCGTTCAGTAACCAACCTATCAAACTTCTTTGTGCAGAGTTAGACACAGTATCTCTCTTTCTTCTAAGTCAATACATGATTCATTTCCCTCACCTGTATCTCTCCCCACCTCCACATCCTCAGAAGCTTCGCCGGTCTTTGGTACTTCGGTGTAACTCTCATTTCCCTTAGGTTCAGCTGAGGAAGATGAAAAAAAGCCGAACCTTTGAAGAACATTCAAATCTAGAGTTCCATGGTTTAGGAGCGACACTGGAACTGCAACAAGCTGCCATTAAAATGATCCAAATTCAGTAAATTCACTGTCCAAAAAATCCTAGAATGAGCTATTTCTCAGCTTTCAATTCACAAGGATTGCCCGAACTTCGCAAACCAATTTCGTATCCAAATTCAGACATATGAAAGAGCAATCAAAACATTTACATTCAGACATATACACCTAAATTCGTGACACTGTAATAACGAAGACCAGAGCAATAGAATCAGAACATAACCATCATTTCACTAAAGACGTCAAATTTTACAAACGAAAGATTCGTTTGGACAAAACCCTTAAACCCTAGCAAAAACCGACGTTAAAATTGAGAACGAATTAAAACCAAAATCGGCTTAAAAACCTAACCTTGTTGGGATTTCCGTGAACGAGGGAGTGAAATCGGCTTGAAACAATCGGAATCTGATTCCTCTTCGGAGTAACGACGGAGGAGAGAGACGAGCGTAAGCCTGCGCTGCGAGAAACTCTCGATAAAACCCTAGACACCAACATCACGGAAGATTCGTGCAATGAATCGAAGAAGAAAAGCAAAATCGAAACTTTTTATTAATTTAATGTCTGAGAGTCGGCCGATGGAAGGTGAAAGAGGCAAAAACGTTCTTCTTGGGGAGGAAGCAAAATTTTCTTTGGGGTTATATCAATTTACAAAAATACCCTTAACGATGCGTTGATGACTTACTCCCAGAACTCAAAATCTTAGAAGCAAATTTTGAATGAAGCAAATTTTGAATCAATCCATGATCCGTTTTAATAGAGAGTATATAAATTTAATAGAGGTTATTTGGAAGATATTCTGTCCCTTAATCAACGGCAATATCACTTCAAACATATCTGTCGGGAGGCAAACACATTGGCTGATCAGTTAGCAAAGGAGGCTAGATCTAAGAATTCCCCTTATATTGTATCTTGGGTTACCTAAATGTATACTTCAAACTGTTGTACTATGTTATGCTTTTCTAATGAATGAATATGTTGGCCGACAAAAAAAAAAAAAAATCTAAATTTAGATACTTCTATTAGAGATGTCCTAAAACGTTCCACCACCGACATCCTTGGCGACTGCATAAGTTTGATCGGTTGTTCATATCGTTTTTATATTAATTTTATATTCGTTTTCTTTAATCATTAGTTAATTATTGTTTACACTTTAAAAGATTAGGTGGTAGAAATAATACAACATGCTTGATCTTCTCTTCATACTCTAGAAAATGGATACCGCGAGTTTAGATAAACTGTTGGAAAACATTTGGAACATCGTTGCGAATACTCAACGCTAAATATTTGCTTCATGGCACACCGATTAGCTACGGAAAAAAAAATAAAATAATAAGTAATGAAGTTGTTGTTGAATATCTGAGAACTCGTGGTTTCGAAATGATTGATGTAAAGACAAAAACCGTCAAGTGTGTTGGGTGTGGAGAATTGATGCGAAATCAGCATCTTATCTCAATGGTAAGATCCATCTCTATAGTAGAATGATTTTTGTTTTCTCATTACTCTTATTCTTTTTTCTTACTTTCATCTTCTTTTTTTCAGATGATCCTCACGAGAGTAAGACGGACGTAGCCGATATCAATATCATGATATATATGATCTTTCACGCTATTGAGGCAACCACTGAGAAAAGCATCTCGCACAACATCCTTCTAGTGTCAGCAAATAAAGACTTCAAATGCACTCTTGAAAATTTGAACGTTAGAAGCTTTAAAGACAGTATTGACGGTAGCTCACTTGGTATATTAAGAGAGTATGAAGAGAAAATTTTATTTTAAACATGTTGCATTATTTCTAGAGTATAAAGAGAATATCAAACATAATTGAGTTAGTAGAGTCAATTTATATTTTATTTATTGCTAACATTATCAATTAATCAATTTATTTTTCTCCAGTTGACAACCTATTATAACAAACTCAAAGTAAAGAGGTTTAAATACGTAAACAAATTGAGATAACATTACATGTAAAGGTGAATTTTTAAATTCGAGAGATATCCAAGAAAACAACTTTGTTTATGATCATGAAGACTAGGCCTGGGCGTTCGGATATTCGGGTCGGGTTCGGGTCGAGTTTTTTGGGTTCGGGTCGAGTTTTTCGGTTTCGGGTTTTTCAGGTTTAGAAAACTAAGACCCGTTCGGATATTTTAAAACTTCGGGTTCGAGTCGGGTTCGGATCGGGTATTTTGGGTTCGAATTCGGGTTTACCCGAAATATCCAAATATTAGAAATTTTGTATCCGATTCTATGCAAAGTATTAAAAAATACTCAAAAAATCTATAAAACCCAAGTATTTTAACCCATATCTAACCCAAAGTAGCTAAAACACCCGAAAATATCTTAACATCCGAATAATTTAGGCACTTAGGTTATTACAAGTATAAATATTACTAATATATTATAACTATGTACTAATATTTCGGGTATGTTCGGGTACTTGTTCGGGTTCGAATTCGGATCGGGTTCGGATTCGGATTTTCGGGTTGTGAAGTTTAAAACCCGTTCGGGTATTTTAAAACTTCGGGTTCGGGTCGGATTTTTCGGGTCGGGTTCGGTTCGGTTCTTCGGATTCGGATATTATGCCCAGGCCTAATGAAGACTCGTCGCAATCATCTTATTGCTTAGGTTTTGTGCATGTTTAATTTAATTACTCAATCTAATCTCAGGTTCGGTATTTGTACAAAAAAAAATCAGAGTTCTTGTCTTCATGAAAAAATATAATGTATGTCCGCCTATAGATCCTTAATGTATATATACTGATTAGTGACAACTCTATAAACAAAATTCTTGTCTTGAGAGTTTAATGGAAATGATCTTGAAGCGCTTTGAAAGATTTTCGAAAGACATAACTTTGTAGCTATCTTAATAGTTTATCAAACCATAATGTCAAATGATTTTGGTGGTTCATATAAATTATGGTGTAGTCAAAGTTTTGGAGGAAGATGATTTTTACCTTTTGTTTTCTAGATATTGTTGAGGCCAAATATGCTAAAATAAACTTTGTAGTAATATATTTAAGATTTAAGACTTTGTATCTTTTTTATTCGTGTACGAGCGTTATGGTTTCAATTGATAGTTGAAGTTTTAGCAGCAAAATGAATTAGTGCTTGAGGGTGTTACATAGTAAGGAGAAATGTTGGTGCATCCTCAAATGATGAAGCTACATACTTAGAAATATAGATTGTACTTATTATCCATAAACAATGACTTTATTTTAAGACTCTAAGTTGTTCAGAGATTCTTGATATGGTCAACTGAGAGGATAAATACGCATCTTTTTTAAGGAGAAGCTTCTTGAGCTAGTAAACACAACATAGATGGAATTAAGGTCAAGTGATGAAGTACGATGAACCTTTGATGGAATTATAATGATGCTAGTTTAATTTTCACTTAGTTGTGATTGGATAAGTGGTGTATGTATGTTGAATCTTTTGGAATGAATTATTATGATTAGAAAGTGAACAACAGTTTCATCAAGGAAACAAATCTTTCTCTCTCGCGAAGACCAACTCGCCCTAGCCGCCGTCAAGCTTCTCCTTTTGATTTGACCTCTCCGGCCACCGGCGCTTCTCGCCGGAGTCGTGAGAGGGTCGTCCGTGGTTTGTTCTTCCTTGCGTCTTTAGTTTCGGAGCCATTCTCA